CTTTTTGCGGGAAAAAACATTTTTCTAAAATAGTCTGTTTATAGCTTTTTCAATTCTCCGTAAACTGGTGTATTCAAAATATCTTCGTTGATTTGCAAAAGGGCATTAAGTTCAGCATAATATGTATAACTTGAGAAAAGTGCGACCTGTACATCGTTTAGGCTAACGTTCTTCGAAAAAACAAAAAATAACCATTTTTCTAAAACAGCCTGTTATAAAGCTCTTTCAATTCTCTACAAGTTGATGTATTCATTCATGATGTATTATGTTTGATCACAAGGATTTTACAGGAATAAGAACAGTTGAACATACAGTCCAAAAAGTTATTCATCCATCATTCTTTTTTCTCGTCGACCATAGTAGCTGGAGCAAATTTGAAAAAAGATTTGTATCGCTGAAAGAATTTCCAGTCTTATGAGGTATACATAAAGATTTCATCAAGACTTATGAAACTAGGGTCTCTGGAAAACCCAAATCTCAGAAAATCAAGTCCCCCTGTTCAATTTAGAAATTGTTCTCAAATAACTTTGTCATATAGAGCAAACATTTCTGCACAAAATGAGACGTCTTCGTTCTCACTGTGACACTTTTTCACGAAACACCATTCACTTTGCGAAAGGGCCTACTTGTACGCAGTCGTCCTTTATTTTTCTAACAGGAGTTCAGGTCAATCTGACGTTACATATCAAATCTATGCGCAAGTTGCTCATGTTCGACCAGTTTGCCCGATATATCAAGCTAGATATTCTCTGAAGTTTTAGGTTTTTAAAAGAAAAGCTACTAACGTAAAAAAACTTTTTATACTTTAGCCTCTTGAGAACTAACAAACTAAAAACTATGCTTTAAGTTTTGCATAATTGGGTAAATTATGTCAGTCTGACGTTCAAATATTGATCCTCTGTGGGATTTTCATCGTGTCAGGATCCACGAGGCAAGGATTTACTACCAGGAAATCTATCATCTTTATGGAATTAAGGTAAAAAGTTTTCGAGATTTCTTCTAAATTTATTATAATTCATTACGATGGGAAACTTTTCACAGGATACCTCGCCTCATGTATTTTGGAATACTCTTTTCTTCTCAATTGAACGTCATATAACTCAAAACTAAATAATTTGTAACATAGAGGGAAAATGTTTTGAAAAGCTAATAACTACAAAATACATGCAGTATGACATGGTTGAACGACTAAGAAGAATTCTCTATTAGAAATACGAAGATTCTGGTGGAGTAACTTACCAGGTAAACATGGTTTAGGTATGTTAGTTTCATTATCACAATAATGCCCATTTGACTGTTCATTTATTCTTTCATCCTTTTTTTGAGCGTAAGAATGACTTTTTCGTGATGGAAAGAATATGTAATTCAGAAACAACGCGTAATTGGACAAGGATCGCATGTCGTTGATCCATCGTTCTGAGTATAATAACCGGTCGTACATGGAGCACAGTTTATTTGCCCAAATTGATTGTTATGCGTCCCTAACGGACAAGCTTGAGGAAGCGCACTGGGATTTAAACAATAATGTGCAGGTGGGCATATATCACAGTAGGATGAACCGGGTTTTACCGTGTAGTGCCCATTGCTACAGTTAGTACAACGTATCTGACCAGGAAGGCTATAGCTACCAGCATTGCAAACAACTGGATCAATGGCTGGATCAGCACAAGAGTGACCATCAGGTGATTCACTTATTCCATCATGGTCTTTGTTTGGGAAAACAGTGAAAAAGCAGCAGACAGTATTAATGAACAAGACCAATGCGGGCAAATATCACAATAGGGAGATGCCGGCTTTGTCGTATAATAACCAGGGAGACAAACTGTACAAGTTGCTTGACCATGGACACTGAACGTTCCAGCAGGACACGCAGTCGGGACCGCTGCTTTTAGATCAAGTGACAGTGAGCAGGAATAACCTGCTGGACAGTCGTAGAAATCCGAAATGATTTGCCCGTTTGTTCCATAAGAAGCAAATTGTAGCAATAACAAGAGGAGGTATGTAGCCATTTTCCCTTGTAAAGAGAGCAAAAGAATAACTTTTATAGCTGGTAGACACTTTTTTCATTAAAATCAATAGGCGAATATAGCGGGGCGGGATTACAGCAGAAAATGATCAGTTAGTGGGTTGAACATTCTTCTAAACTATTTAGGATATTTTAGAGCACTTTTAAGCAAGAAAGGAGGATGGGTGAGTGTTGAAAGCGAACACAAAATGTGCAATCCAGCCACCTGGAATTCTGATCAATAGGATCTGAATTTAGTGTGGGAAAGTCGAAAAATTGGAATAATAGATCGAGAGTTGAATTCTTTCGACCGGCTGACAGACTTTGACTTACTTGTGCACAAAACTTTTTGAATGGTAGCATTTTTGAAGTTCTTGGTCACCTGTATTTATAAAGAGAGAGCAAGAGAGAGTGTACAAGTCGGTTTTTACCCGCTAGCAGATCACTACTAAGGGATGCCGTCATAAAGTTTATCGCTTTAATCGCTTTCTGTATTTCGATAGATTTATTCACAGAAACGAAAAAAGAAATAAGTAAGAAATGATAGAAATTTTGTTCCGGATACAAGTAGAGAACGAAAAAGAACGATATGATGTTGATATACGAGATATACGATAGATATTGCTTCTAAGTCTGAAATTTGTTTTTCTTTTGATCCAACTATTTAACTAAAATGTATCTCTCTCCGTTTTCTATGAAGTACACAAGATATAACCACCCCCCATAATAGAAGCCTCCCCCGTATTAGAAGCCCCCTCTGGAGGAATCGATGTGGAAGGTGTATTAGAAGCCCAAGGGCTTCTATTACGTCGGAAAAATAATTTGAATTTTTTAAACGACACATTTGCTTACTGTACGCTGAGTCATTTTTTAGAAAAGGGTGCAGTCTACCTTATGAGATACAGGGCTGTCAGTGAAGCTGAATATGAGACATAGATGTACTTTTTCTGCCAATTAACAAGCGGAATCATTTCTTAAGAGGAGTTCTTGACTAGCATGACTATCGGGTCATGGTAGTCTTGAAGGCGAGTTCTGTATCGTTTATGCCTTCAGAGTTATGTAAAAGTAATATAATCGGGCTAATTAGAGGTATTTTTAAACATACCACATACTCTTACATAAAATAAGGCCGAATTTTTTGGAATTCATCAGTTATTATCAATAATGATAAATGATCAATATTTGCTATTCATCATTTCTTACGTCTATATTTTTCTTCTATATCTGTATAGAACTTTATTTCTGTTGATAGAAAAGAACGAATTTTCTATTTTAATTAAGATATTCATTCATTACATGTCCAAAAGAAGCAGTGCTCATCCTAGATTCTGCCAACTTCGAGAGTTAGAATTAAATTAACTAGATTCGCTCTTTTTTCCTGAGGAAATGACTAAATCCTAAAAGAAGTGTGTAGCCACGAAATTGTAAGGTTTGTCAAAATGTATCAGAATTTCAATAATTCCTAATTGGAAAAAAAAGATTTCTGATAATGTCTTTCAGAATTTAATTAGGTTTCCTCGAAGATGTTATTAAATTTCTTGACAGGATCTTTGCAGGATTTTCTAAATAGAACAGAAGAGAAATGAACACATACAGTATCGATCTCTAGACCTTCAGTTTACATACAGATTCAACAACTTTTATATAAACTTTCAAAAGATTTAGTAAAATTTTTTGTATGATATTTTTTCAGATTCGTTCTATTTGTTTATGAAAAGAACCAAATCAAGATCAGGATAAAAATGCCAATAGATTGTTCAGTTCTCAGAATTTTGTCATGTTTCGAGCAAAAACACAATACGATCTTGAAAAAGCCCTCGTTTTATTTTTTTGAGATTTTGCTCAACATTGGTATTGAAACTCTGTTGTGATCTATAGATTTATAAATCTTGAACGGATTCTGACCTGAACCTAGCTAAAAACGTGAGCTTCATCCATCCTTGCCAGGTTCCTGAACAGAATTAGTTATAAACCTTGATAGGATCCTGAAAATCAAAGTCTGAACAGTCTCTAAACACAAACCTGCAAAGATCTTAATCTTCGTATTTTCTCATCAAGATTCTGATCATACTTGTACTGCTTTTAAGGATTCAAAAGCAGTTCAGCGCAGGATACTGACCGAAGCTTGGCAGGATTTATCAGTTGAGGATTCTGACTAATCTTGTTTTATTCCTGGTAAAATCCTTCTCTGATATGACTATAACTCTTGACAGAATCGTCGTATCACGATCCAGGACAAATCTTGACCGAAATCTTTCTGTGATTCTTGTCAGGATCCTGAATAGGATCAAGAATGAGTCTTAACAGGATCCTGCAAAATCAGTTTAGGAAAAAATCCACCAAGAACTTAAACAAATCTTGGAAAATCAATGCAGGATCAAACTTGACATGATCCTTGACATTTACGATGCTGGAAGATCCTTCCAGATTCTCTCAAGGAATGAACACGGTTGAGTAGACTAAACAGTAACCTGCAAAGATCTTTGCTATTGTCTCGTCAAGACCCTTATTAGGATTGTCATTGTCTTGCAAGGTCTGGAAACGGATATTCTTGAAAAGTTCCGAACAAGATCCTGAATGAAGCTTTGCAGGATCAGTCAGTTTCGTATTCTGACTGATCCGGTTATTTTCTTGCAAAGACCGTTGTCTGATGTGGCTATCACTCTTAACAGGATCCTGATACGAAGATTTGGCCCAGATCTTGACGAAAACCTGATAAAATCTTGGCAGAATCCTCTCTTATAATCGTGTGAGGATCCTTGATAGAATCTAGGGTAAATCCTGGTAGGATCCTGTATTCTCAACTCAGAAAAATATCTGAGTAGGAACTTGAAGAAATCCTGAACAGGATCCCGAAAGACCCTTCCAGAGTTTCTCAAGGAATGAACAGGATTGAGACTAGGGCAACATTTGAATTTTTTGTTTAGTATTATAAATTATCTGCACTATTCTGAAGTCAGTGCTAGATGAGTTCATTTTTTTATTGAATAAGTACTTATGTTTTAAACACTTTCCAATGATAGTAGGGGAATTGTGGATTATCAATAACTGCTTTCAAGTCATTAACAATCCATGGATGCATAGCTGATTGTTCAACAATTGCTTGCTGCTGTTGTTGAGGTGGTACAAATGTTTGTGATATATTTTGTGGATATTGTTGTTTGCATTCTTGACAAGCATTTATAATGAGATGAAATGTGCCACGTAAACCACCTGGATAGTTTGTTGTCCACATATCGGGAGGTATTTTTAATTGATTATATGTATAACCATCCATGACATCGGCATCACCAAAATCAATAAATAACACCCGAGGATACGGCTGTGTCTGAAGAAACATATTAGATGCTGTTAAGTCATTGTGATATACAAGAGAACGTTTAACTAAATGCATATTTAGAATAATTAAGATAATGATATTTTTTGCTTGTCGTTCACTAATTACTGGATTTTGTTGAATGTATTGTTGAACAGTAATACCGTTTGTAATTTTATAAAATATTATCATATAACCTCCCAATGATTCAATATCTAAACAGACACTCTGAGAATTATATTTACTTTACTCAATTAATAATGCAATAATAATTTTCTTGTTCCTAATCTTACCGAAGTAAGCTTTGGCTTGTGCTGCTGGTAATGTTTGACATAGAGTTGCTTTCACTCCAACGTAATATTCGACAGGTACAATTGATTTCTGCAGTGGATATAGACGATACTCTGGTAGTCCTCCTTGATCGAAATACAACATCATATATGGTGTATGAGTACACGCTTGTTCGGACTGACTTTTTAACGATTGTATGTCTAACATAGTCACATACCGATTTGTGCGAGAGTGCCTTTGATATTTAATAACGACGGCTTCTTGCGTTGATGTCCATAAACCATCAAAGACACGTCCAAATGCACCTTGATTGCTTAATGGAGGACCAACGTGTAATGGCCAATTGAGCTGATGTGCTTGAAGTTGTAATTCTAGACGCAAAGGTTCGAGTTTTTGAGCTTCGTCGGATGCCATTATAGAGAATGGAAATAAAACAAACATGTAAAGAAAACTACGCATAGTATATTCAAACAAACATAAATAGTTGTACGGAAAACACAATTATTTTTTCAAAACTGACTTTAAGAACTTTGGCGCATGAAGTTTTATATTATTTATACAATAGTTATATTATATATAATATAGCAATAGTAATTATTATATTATTATTTATACAATAGTATATGTGAATACATTTATTTTCGCCAGGAAAAAAAGATTTAGTTGACATCTCGCGCATCAAATGAAAGCTCTTTGCATATACTGTCTGATGATGTTGTTTTGTAAAGGTAGAAGTATGATGTTCTCTGGATCAAGATATGAAGCAAGCAAAATACAAGAACTCTCCTGTTAGTGAGCAATCCACCTGTCTAATATCAACAATGAATAAACCACTATTCCATATTGTTCATTATATATATCCTATATAATTTGTTCTGTGTTTTCTTATTCTTTTGATCAGGATCGAAGAAATAGCTTAATCCTCACTACATTCAAAGTTCTTCCCTTAATAAAGAGTGTGTCTGTGTCATCTTCAAAGAATGACACATGACACACACTATGTTATGGAAAGAAGTTTGAATGTAGTGAGGATTAAGCTATTTCTTCCATCCTGATCAAAAGAATAAGAAAACATAAGAAACTACCCTAGTGAAGCTTTTTTTCTCAAGCACATGAGCAAGCACATACTTCAAGATTTGTCTCCCTGCACATGAATTTCTTACTCATGCAAAACGCTTGAGGTATGTGCTTGACTTTCTTGTCTCATGCGCTTGAGTTGCTTGAAGTATGCGCATGAGGGGAGAAATATCTAAAACAATGTGCATACCTCAAGAAATTCAAGCGCATGAGACAAGAAAGTCAAGCACATATCTCAAGAAACTCATGTGCATGAGAAAAAAAGCTTCACTAGGGTAGTTTCTTATGTTTTCTTA